CAATGGAAATTGTTCACACAACTCCACTTCTCTGAGCCTGTGCGTAGGTGAATCTAAGTCTAACTTTTTGTTGTATTGTCATGGAATTTGCAAAAAATGGAACCATAGGCCTGCATCTTACATACCCTTATTTTCTCGTTTCCAAGGTGATTAGATGCTAAGGGTAAAAGTGTAGTCTGTCATTCACATTCTAATAAGGCATCTCGAGATCTTTCTTGGTGCTTAATTTTCTTTTACAATGGAATGAACAAAGTTCCACTTGAAGAAACTGCAATCAAGCTGTGTTTTAAAAAAATTAACGGAGTAAATAATTAAATTTATTGGACATTTTCATACAGGTATGTAACTTCCTGAAAGGAAGAAAGCAGTGGACAAATTTCGCTCAGAAAAGGTGAGTATAGACAAGCTGGTGGCAGGAGTAATGTTTGTTGAGTAAAAACACCTAACAAGGGTCTTCTTTCAATTTCTTAGCTAAGTGGTGCCGATTTAATTCCCTGAGAGTGGGCAGACTCTCATATAAAATGATGGGGAGTAATGATCATAGCCTTAACAGGGAAAAACGCAAAATTTGCAAATTGGCACAGCTAGATTACTGAGCTGAAAAACTGTGGACTATTTGTCAGTCAAGTGTTTTGATGCCAGCTGCTCTAAAGAATGAAAATAAATTTGTTGTAGTCATGCCTTTACTACAAGATTCTGGTACTTTTCAGGGCTAGATATCATGGCTGATCGTAATGTGCCAATTCCATCAATGACGAAGATATTAAAAATGTTGAATTTAAGGCATTTGGTCAATTTTGTAACTGCAGCGCAGCTACAGTTAAGCATTTAGAGGTTGAATGTGCAAGTGAGCACCTACCAGAGCATTTCATAATAGGAGACTGCCACAATGAAGATCATAATGCTGATTGCTACTGTGCATACATTCATGTTTCTGTATTAATTGCTTTTGTTGGTATTTATATCTTGTATTGAGAAGCCTTTTACATTAGAGGCTCTATTACTTGTTTACTGATATTTTAAAAATTTACATCCTATTTAAAAGTCTTGTTTTTGTGAAAATCAATTTATCATTTATATATATTATCAAAAAAATAAACAAGGGGTAGGATGTAAGTCAATCAATTATTAATGTTTTGTTGCAATTTACACAATTACAGTCCAAAATAAAATATCTGTTAGTGACACAATATCTAAAATGCCGAGTGTGCCTTGAAGTAGCCTATGAGAAGTCCCTCATTTTCCCTCGGGGATAGCAGAGCGAGGGAAATGCGAGCACATGTGAAAATCGCATCACGCGAGAAATGCGAGAAGTGGCGGGAGAGAGAAAAAATGAGAGACCGCAGAAAAAGCCCAGTCTTTTGACTTTATGCGTTGCTCTCACAACGTATGACTCTGGTTAGCTCTTCCATAGCAGTCTGTCAACATCTGTCAAAAAAGCACCGGCCACTATCAACACTCAACAAAATCACAATTTCTGTCAATGTCTGACAAACTTCAGGTATGTCTAGAAAAAATTCGTCTCATAACATCCCTGAAAAAGGAACAGACTCGAGCGGTGAAGCCCTGTTTAAAGGCAAAGATGTACCTGTGATATGTCCAACCAGATTTGGGAAAAGTTTAATTGATCAAGTGTTCAGCATAGCAGAAACATTTGCAAACGTAAGCATCCTCATTATTTTCATTATTTGTCCACTTAATCTCAACGGCATTGTGGAAGAGCAGACAAAAGAAATGAATGGCCTTGGGATAACATTGGTTCACTCAAAACCAAGCAGTGAGGATTGTTTGAAAGATATCTCAAAAGCAGTTTCAAATGATGTTCGCTTCAGCTGAAGACTGCTTGTGCAAGAAGATTACGGAGATCCTGAAAGCACCGGAACCCCATTCAGAATATAACCTTTCTTTGATTGTCATCTATGAATGCCACACGGTTGAGGCATGGTAAATTAAATGTTGTTCTGAACTTGTGTTTGATCCTACACAAACAAGTGACTTATATCCCTTAGGATATCAGTGTACTTATCAATTGATCTTTATTTATTGATGTTTAACAGCACTTCTGCATGTCATCAATTTTTCTAAAGAGTGATTTTTATCTTGCAGGGGCACAGATCATAAAAAAAGGAAAACTGTTTCTTCCTGCCTTCAGAAAAGATAACGGAAACTTGGCAATGCTTTGATCACTTTTTACAACATAGGCACGTTTAACGCGCATGAGCCATTTTGAATGCTTCAGCGTAACCGTATCAACAATCTACTGTTCTAATCCTAAATTAAGACTATTTTTGTGTGAAACTAGGTATCGCTGTATATTAATGAAAAGGCGAACCACCGTGCACAGCTGACTTGATCCTTAAACTATAGATTCACTTTTCTTTGTCTTTCCTTCCGACATCTGTGGCAAAATAAACAAATTGTTACAGTACTATGAATATCAACTCACCAAACGTTGCTTAGGGGGAAGACTCGAAGGTTCAAGGTTTCTTCATGGTTTCTTAACATAATGAAGCTCATCAAATACTGAATAGCTAAGAAATGCCAAAATTTCCAATACTGTTGTATCTGGTTGTATCATCATTGGCTGTGGTCACACTTGGGCTTTTTTTACTTAAGTACAGTCGAGTTCACTACTGTAAACACGTTTTCTAATGTGACCGGCTTTTCTCATTTTACTACGGTAAACACAGATCTAGTCTGTTGCGGTGGCAACGGCGGTAGGATGAAAGCAAAGTTTACTATGGTAAACTTTCCTAAAACGATATGGTTTATTGCTGATATTTCTAAATTTTGTTTATCCAGTTGCAAGCTGTTGCATTATTTGAGAGGCGTTCCGTGAGTGTCACGTTGCTGAATACTTATACATGCATTTTTAGCACTGCCAGCATATTCTTTTCCTCTTTTTGCGCCAAACAGTACAGTAGAGATGTCACAGTGGTCAGACAATTTTCGCTTTCATTCGAGGTAAGTTCACAGTAAATTCTGGATTTCAAGGAATCATACGCCTACATACAATGTTCGTGTTTCATTTCTGAGTCGAGCATAAATTTAGAAGGAAATCATTCAATTCAAGTGTTTTTTATTCTGTGTAGCCATATTCTTTCTATCTGTTGTCTGAAAACAAATGCATATGGATTTTGGTTGGCACGCTTTTTTAAGAAAACTGCATGTTCTTTTCACTTTAGAGTTCCACCATTCCGCAATGGTTTCGTAATCCCACCGGGCAGTTTTTCAGATGATCATGGCCGCGAAGTAATTCAGCATGGACAACTTATATTTTCCCAAGAAAATAATGGAATAGAAGCAGTATCAGCAGCAGTACAACTTCCAGTGAATGCAACTCTCCAAATGAGATTTGCTCTATGATTTGGTGCTGAGAGAAAGTATGGCAACGCTGCAAGGGCACACAATTCAGACAAGTGACCCAAAGCCGAAAAGCGCCGAGCAGTCACGCAGTCGATGGGTAGAAGGAGAAGTGAAGCTTCTCATTTCAACCTGTGGAGAGGAATATAAGAACAGAGATAAAGGAAGAAACCTGGATTCCACGTGGGAGAAAATAGAAGCCAGACTGGCGGAAGAGTCTAAAGAAGTTCTCAATATATATTGCGAAAAGTCAGCCAAGAGTTGTCGTGATAAAATAAACAATCTCAGCAAAAAATACAAGAACGTAAGGGACAAGAGCAAAATGACAGGCGAGGGCAGCAAAAACATCAAATCGTTTCCCGAGTTTGATGAATTAGATCAAATTTGGGGAACAAGAGATTCTGTGAATCCTAAGTATGTAATGGAGGCAGGAACGTCTCAGTCAGCCATCGCCACACCAAGTCCAAATTCCTCAATGCCTTCCTCAGGTAGTGGAGATGGTACTTCATTTGGCCCCCTCGAGGGTAGCAGTGATGAAATGGATGAAACCCTATCCTTGCCTTCTGCAATTGCCAGACCTACTAGGAGGGAAAAAACAGAAAAGGGACGTAGACAAGAGAAAAGAAAACGAAGTCAGCCTTCAAATGACGATGACAGCAAAAAAGATGAGGATTTAGAATATTCATCCAGTTTGTTTTTCAAAAAGAAGCAAAAACAACCAGATTCCTACATAAGTTGAAATTCAACACTTTTCCGTACAAATAACCTTGAGAGAAGAAATGTTTACATAGTGAAATTGAATCATGTCATTTTTGCGAAATCTACAAATGAAGATTCAAACGAAGTACATGTAATATATAAAAAATATGCTCAGTCGGTTTCAAAACTTGGATCACTTTTAGTCCAGATAACATAAAATACTAACATAAAATACTAACATTTGAACATGTTTCGAAAGTTTGATTTATACTAACAAAGCCACCCGCACAAGTACATACAACCGCACTCGTTCGGCCACCATGCAGACACTATGCTGTAAGAACTCAAGTAAACTGAATACACGCAAAGTTGCATGTATTTTCTCGTGTATTCTTGCGTGGATTTTTTTACACGTGTGTTTCGCGCGTGTTTTTCTGGTGGAATTGGCGTGCAATATGGAGGATTTCCACGCAGAAAACGCGTGTAATGCTGCAATGCCCGCAGCCTGTACTGTACCAGAGAGCAGTTGTATATGGGTCTACCTTCAGTTGTGTAATGATCAGCGGTATTTTGTATGAGTGTAAGAGTGCGCATGACCACCTGGGTCAGCCATGTTGGAATAAAAAACTTGGATCCTGTTTACTAAGCTGTTTTATCCAGATCCATCGTGCTATTAGATAAAGAACATTACATGGTGTCAGAAGTAAAGTACGAACAAGAACCTCAGCCATCGATATGGCGAAGATTTGAATAAAATACAGGCCGTATTTCAGAGCAATCAACATCGGCGATCGTAATTCATGTCACAGGATCAGTCGATTCCTATCACGCCCGCGGGGGAAGAAAACACTGCAGAAGTACAGCATTTACAAGTTGAAGACGAAGAAAACACAGAGGAAATACAGCAACCAGTTGAAGACGAAGAAAATACACCTGAAATGGCGATGCATTTAGGTCTTCCACCTCCAGAAGCTCTCGACTTGAGTGGAGGTAACATATCAGCCAATTGGAAGAAGTTCAAACAGAAATATACAAATTACGAAATTGCGACCGGAATAAGTTCGAAGGATAGTGCAACCAGAGTAGCAACACTTCTAACAGTTATTGGCAACGATGCTATTGATGTGTTTAACACTCTAACTTGGGACGAAGAAGGCGATGACAAAAAAATCGAAAAGGTGCTGTTGAAATTTGAGGAACACTCTGAACCCAAGAAAAATGTCAGCTACGAGAGATACAAATTCTTCTCAAGAGCCCAAGAAAGCGGCGAAAGCATCGACCAGTACGTAACAATATTAAGAAAGCTTTGTGAAACATGTGAATTTGGAGCATTGAAGAACTCTCTCATCAAGGACCGAATTACTCAGGGTGCCAGACCTTACACTTCAGAAAGCATTAGATGTGGTACGATCTGCAGAAGCTACGGATATGCAAATGAAAGAACTGGACGACTCATCAGTGCATGGAATTGGAAGGGAGAAGAACAAGTCAACTGACAAGAAAACACCTTCAGATAATGAGGAAAAAAGACCCCCAAGTAAGAAGTTCAATTGCGGGAACTGTGGAACAAGACATGGCGCAAGGGAGTGTCCTGCATATGGCAAAACATGTAACTATTGTCAGAGACGAAATCACTTCCAGAGTGTATGCAGATCACGGAAAAAAGTCCATGAACTGGGTGTAGAGCAACAAGAAGGAAATATTCCTGACTCAACCCTATTTGTAGGAGCTGTCACTACTGAAGTTCGGATCCAGAATGAGGAGTGCTGTGATGTTGCCAGTGAAAGGACATATCACAAAACTCAAAATTGACACGGGTTCTCAAGTTAACATCATGCCGTTCAAAGACCTAAAGAAGATAGTTGGAAGCAATCCACAGATAAATGCCTGCACACAATCTAGTCAGTTACTCTGAAGATAAGCTAACTGTACTTGGCACAGCTACACTACCAGTGAAATCTAAAACAGATGTAGGACATGAGCTGACATTCCACATAGTGGAGACAAATCAACCAGGATTATTGGGGCTCACAGCATCCCAAGATCTGGGTCTAATCAAAGTAGTTATGGTGGCCAAGACAGAAGAAAAGCAAACTGAACCAGACAAAAGTGAAGAGGTTACGAAGTTGTCTGAAGAACTGAAAGAAGAAGTACTGCAGAAATACACGCAGGTATTCGCTGGGTTGCGACGCTTGGAGAAACCTTACCACATTGAAGTAGACCCTACTGTGACACCTGTCGTAAACCCACCTAGAACGGTCCCAGCAGCTCTTCGCGACAGAGTGAAAGAAGAACTGGATGACATGGAAAGGAGAGGAGTTGTTCGCAAGGTAGAAGAACCCACAGATTGGGTCAATTCTATGGCCATTGTTGAAAAGCCTAATGGTAGTCTGCGGATTTGTTGAGATCCAAGGCACCTCAATAAAGCAATAAAGCGGGAACACTTTCAGCTTCCCACCATCGAAGACATCACTCCACGCATGGTAAATGCAAAATGGTTCACTAAGCTTGATGCAAACCGAGGATACTGGCAGATACCTCTTGATGAAGAAAGTCAACTTCTAACCACCTTCAACACACCTTTCGGGCGGTACTGCTATCAGGTCACTCCATTCGGAATCACATCTGCTCAGGAAGTTTTCCAAAAGCGGATGAGTCAACATTTTGGCGACTTGGAAGGAGTTGAAACCGACATCGATGACATAATAGTGCATGCAGAAACAGAAGTTAAACACGACCATCGTGTACACGCTGTCCTGGAACGATGTGAGAAGATCAACCTAACACTGAACAAAGAAAAGTGCGTCTTTAAAGTCAAAGAAGTCACCTACATTGGTCACAAACTTACACAAGAAGGAATCAAACCTGATGATGAAAAGGTGCGTGCCATCAATGACATGCCTGCACCAACTGACAAGAAAGGAGTAGAAAGAGTCCTTGGAACAGTCAATTACTTGGGCAAGTTCACCCCAAATCTGGCAACTGTCACTGAACCTATCAGAGTTCTACTACGAAAGGACATTGAGTTTCAGTGGGCACGTGAACAAGAAAAAGCACTTCATGAAATTAAAAGCATCCTAACTAAAGATGGAGGGCCAGTCCTGAAATTCTTTGATGTACAAAAGCCTGTTACGATCAGCTGTGATACCTCCCCAACCGGCCTAGGAAGGGTGCTGCTACAAGAAGAACGTTCTGTTGCCTATGCGTCAAGATCCCTCACTGACGCAGAATCAAGATACGCTCAAATTGAGAAGGAACTCTTAGCTGTTCAGTTCAGCTTAGAACGTTTCCACCAATACATCTATGGAAAGAAAGTTACCATTGAGTCAGATCACAAGCCACTTGAGGCCATTGTTAAAAAGGCACTAGCATCAGCACCACCAAGACTACAAAGAATCCTGCTTAGAATGCAGAAGTATGACTACACTTTGGAATACAAGCCAGGAAAGGAGTTAGTGCTTCCGGATATGCTCTCTAGAGCACCACTGCCTGAAACAGCATATGGCAGCATGGAAGAAGAAATTGCACTACATGTTCATTTGCTAACTTCTAACCTACCAGTCTCGAAGCCCAAACTAGAAGAAATTAAAGAAGCCACAGCTAATGACCCATCATTGAAAGAACTGAAGGATGCGATCAGGTCAGGATGGCCAGAAACAAAATCTTGCACACCAGCAAGTATTCAAGTCTACTGGAATGTAAGAGATGAGCTCTCTGAAGTCGAAGGTGTTATTCTCAAAAATGACAGAATACTAGTCCCGTCATCTATGAGAAAAGAAATGCTACAAAGGATACATCAAGGCCACATAGGGATCGAAAAGTCCAAACGACGAGCAAGAGATGTCCTATACTGGCCAGGAATGAAATCTCAAATCAGCGACATGATATCAAGGTGCACCACCTGCTTAGAGCATCAACGGCAAAACACGAAATAGCCAATGATCCCTTCTCGCTTACCGCTCAAGCCCTGGGAAATGGTCGCCACAGACTTGTTCAACTGGGACAAATCTGAATACCTGATAGTTGTTGACTATCGCTCCAGATATTTTGAAATAGCCAAACTACCAGACACCAAAAGCACCACAGTCATCACCTACACTAAATCTATATTTGCCAGACATGGAATACCATCCGAAGTAATCAGTGACAATGGTCCCCAGTACTCCTCAAAGGACTTTTCACTGTTTGCTAAACAATGGGAATTCAAACACACTACTGTCAGTCCACTGTACCCCCAAGCAAATGGTCTTGTTGAGAAAGAAGTACAAACAGTGAAAAATCTACTAACCAAAGCAAAACAAGATCGCAGGGATCCTTATTTGGCACTACTTGAGTACAGGAACACACCAATAGATGATATTGGTTCACCAGCGCAACTGCTTATGAGTCGGCGATTAAGATCAATCATTCCCACTACCAACGCACAGTTGCAGCCTAAAGTCCTTAATCCACACAAAGTTATGGAGAAACTGAGGCTCAAACAGGAAAAACAAAAGCACTATTTTGATCAGCATGCCAAACATCTTCCCACATTAGAGAAAGGTGACCGGATCAGAGTACAAATGGGGAGCCATTGGAAACCAGGCGTTGTAACAGAACACGCAGAAACACCAAGATCCTATAGGATTCGAACTGATGAAGGTAGAGAATACCGCAGAAATAGAAGAGCGTTAATAAAATCACCAGAAAGTGGTCTATCAGCAACAGACATCTCACCTCATCCTAAGTCTCCAACCGTGAGAGCAAATGAGCATTCAACCTCAAAGAAAGCAGCCAATCAAGCAATCCCATCTGTTGAAGAGCCCATTTCGACATCCCAAGAGCAAGGGGAAATGTATTCATCCGAGGAGGAAATCTCAGAGCCTCTCAAGACAGCAAGTGGAAGAACTGTGAGAAGGCCTTTGCGTTTCAAGGATTATGTTATGTGACACTGAACTCATCATTGATATGGAAGGTTGATAAACATTGTTTCGAAGGTTCTGTTAGTCACAGTTTGCAAATTTCTCACAAGTTGAAATTAGAGGAAACATTTTGAACTTTACATGAAATTGTTGTCCTTTTGACATTAGACCGTATTACCAATCTTGGTATCAAGGTGTACTTATCCTTTCTGTTTATTTGTTTTCTTTTCGTTTTTGTTAGGGGAAAGTTGTAATGATCAGCGGTATTTTGTATGAGTGTAAGCGTGCGCATGACCACCTGGGTCAGCCATGTTGGAATAAAAAACTTGGATCCTGTTTACTAAGCTGTTTTATCCAGATCCATCGTGCTATTAGATAAAGAACATTACAAGTTGCACAAGCACGGCTAGAAGCAAATTTAAGAACTCACATACATGTACTGTTCAATATCAGGATGTAAAAGAACAAATCATCCAGTTTAGAGAAATAAAGGGATTCTCAGTTTTAGGAAGATACCACTTTGCAGCTGTAACAAAACAGGACCAAAGTGAGTCTCTTTTATCCAAAATCACATCTTCAAAACTTTTGAACAACATAATTATGCAACATACAGTAGGTGTTTTTCTCCACCACATGGCTGTTACCAAAAGATCAAAGAGTTTGTTCTGACCTTGATACACTAAGATGAATATCACCTTACGATGTATACTAATAAAGAACCCATGACAATTGAATTAAAATGATCAATGTAACTAGCATAATGATGGCAACATGAAATTGAGTCTGGTCGCATGTTTGTTTCAGCATTGCACTCTACTATGATTTGGGCAAATTATGGAAAAAACAAATTCTTTCCCAGGATCAGACAAGAAATCAAGGCTAAGAATCTGGCATTAAAATTAATATCAGCATACTGAGCCAAAGAGGCAACACTCTTGAGAAATCTCAGGATTTCATAACAATTTAGATTTAAGACCTTTATCAAAACCTTTCAAAAATCCAAAGGTCAGACAACGAGGCTTTCGCAGTGTTCCCCCCCCCCCCCATGATTTTAGAAGGCCAGGGGGTCTTCTGACCGAGATTTTTAACAGTGTTTGTACCAAACCTGCTGTAGCCAGAACAAAAACTCATAAAGACTCAGGAAATTAAATTCAGTTGTTACTTTGGTTAGCAAACAACTGTTATTCTCCAGTTTTACTGAGCCCCCAAACCAGTCTGCAGAGCATGGCAGGATTCAACAAGATCTTGTGCATGCAGAGCCAATTTTAGCCGTGTGCAATACATAAAAGTACTGTGTTGCCTACCGACACATTTTTCAGTAATAACAATTCAAACAAGAGCAGAACAAGCGATTTTGAGAGTGATTTCCCGTACATGTGCAGCTAATGAGATTACCCATAAAAACTGGCATTTAGTATGGTGTATGTGTGTTAAAAAATGCGTCACTATTTTTGTGCACATACACTCATCTGTTTTCAGCTAGTATGTAGTGTGTCACTTACATCAATATTTTATTATATCATTATGCTACATCACATACATTATTTAATTCATTAATTGCAATAAATGGCTTAATGACTTTGTACTATTACTGGCCAATATTATTTTGTAAACTAGACACTTAACTAATATATAGATTTAGCCAGGGCTAAAAGCGAAGCTCCAACTTTAATAAGTTTATAATTTAAATCAAACAATTAACTTTTAATCCACAAATCATTTAACTTAAGGGCACATTCATGTGACTTTTAAGGGAAAGGCTAAGTTATTTTAGAGTGAAACATCTTACATCGAACTGATAACCTTATATGTACACCCAAAAAATAGCAAACATCCTCGATCACATTCAAGATCACAGTAGATTAGGCCTCGAAAACAAATTCTTGGAAAACAAATCACGCCAAATTTTTTTGCGTTCGACAGGTTTACTTTACAAATTCTTGCCAACAAATCTGGGGGTGTTTAAACCAACCATTTATAATTTTTATACACCACATTTGAGGTGAAACAGTACTATTTATCATACAGAGCTCGGACAGAATGCGGTATTTCACAATTTTTCAAGACAAATTGCACTCAGTCAATATTCAGGACGAGCCAAACCGTTCAAAAATTTCAGAAAATTTCCAAAATCACCCATACGGCCAGCTGGTTCGCGTTTCTATAGTGCAAGCTGTCAGTGTGGTCGAGTGTTTGAATGAACTTTAACAGAGTTACGCTTCAACATAATAGCCAATTTACTATTATTTGTTTTGTTATTTAATGGTTTCAGTTATAACGATGTGTAATCTTATAAAGCGTTTGATACGCGCGACATTTTTGAGTACTCCTGCAAGCGATGGTCATGAACGATGAAAACAAACGGCACGGACGAGCGATTAAAATTGCAAGAGAGACTACTAACAATAAAAAAAAGATATAATTCCGTGAAACATTTATAGAGACAAAAATTTTCATTCACGAAGACAAGTATTAAAGTGTCTCTAAAAATCCTGAGTCTTTAAGCGTACAGCTTAAGTTTATGTTTTAGCCGGCTTCCCAGCGCGGTGTTTACTGTTTTCGAAGGTGAACTCCTCGAAGCAAGAAAATCGCTCAAAGTTTTCTTGCTACAGCCAAATTTATGACTAAATATCCTTCGGAACGTTTTCTTTCTATTTGTGGTGAGCAAATATATCTAAGGCTTTTTAAAGTTCTGTAAGCTTATATAAAACCTGATACTAGGTCAGATCATTGACTCAAATCCTGCAATTGTGCATAAACTTGCCGCATGAACTGTCAGCGTGAACTGTGCAAGACTTCATGAAACACAAACATCAAATACAATAATTACTTAGGCTTACCATTCGAGAGTCAGTTCCTGAAAGCTATCAAGGGGGGCCACAGTTGCTTGAGACTTTTAAACCCTCTTACGCATTAAGCAAGGTCAAAAACGAAAACGATGCCATCCGAAATAGAATTACCGAATTTTGACAAGCGACGCATTTCTCAACCAAAACCCAGGAAACAAACCAGTCATGAATAACAGAAGACTCTTGATAGCAGCTGTATTTCATTTTGTACCTCCAGAGGAAAAAGATAGTTAAAAACATCACAAGTTGACAAAAAACTCTGTCAGCTTCAGCTGTCAAAGTAAACTACTTTCAAGATGCTGCATAATTTTTCCGCATAAACTCACCTGTCAAATTTTGACCAATCAGAGTATAAAAATTGGACGTAGAGCGTGACCAACGCGTGACCATGGTAAGATAATGTCTTCCCCGCCTGTACTTTTAAAAAAACTGGATGAATTTTCGCTTCCGAGGTCAGTTTGAAATCAAAATCCTAATAGTGCGGGGTCATAGTGACATAAACACAACATGTTTGATATGAATCCTTGGAAAAAATAAACTTGAGCCTGCGATCATTTGAAACTGGTAATTTGTCAGCGGATAACTTTAAAAAATACTCGACCTCGATGGGTCGACACTTGAGCCCGCGGTACGGTCAGGTGATACTTGTCAGCGGATGCCCTGTTTTGATAGCTGTCAATTGATCACAACATTGATGTGCAGCCTGTGCAATTAGTTTTCTCTTGGGCTCCCAAACTAGCTAAAAGTGTGAGAGTAAACATTGGTTTTCCTGTGGTGCGGACGGACGGCGGGCGGTCGGTCGGTGTACGGTCACGTGATTACCAAATTTTCTGGGATGGGTAGATTTACTTAGCAATGGGGCTCCGCCCACGCGCGCGCTTCGCGCGCGCGTGGAGCTCCGCTAAAATGCTTAACACAAAAATGCTTAAAAGCTTTACCTAAGAAATCATTGCAAGGCAACATATGTTGAAAGAACAACAATCTATGTGCATAAACAACTGCAAACGTATTAGATTATATTGAAGTAACTGTATAGCAGAGGTCATAATAAGGAAGATAAAATCAATGACCGCAAAGCATGCAGACAGCAGAAATACTATGTTAGTGAATTGGTCCCCTTAAGTCAGTCAAATGAACCGTTCGCTCTTCCTGTAGCCCTAGAGAAGAACACCATGTGTATTTGAGACAAAAGTGTCATATAAGAAATGACAGAATTCATTCTTGTAGTCACTGAGTTTTATAGGCTGCAGACAGATGGCTTTGATCACCTCAGAAAAGTGCCTATGTGCACGGTGCTCTGCTTTAGTCTGCCATGCTGGACTGGCAGACTCAAAAATTCAGCCCTTTTGAGCATTGCATTTTTTGTTTAACAATCATGGCATCAGGCACCATTTTGATTCTATTCAAATTTATTCACATTAACTTATTATAGGAAATTAACGATGCATATTGACAATGCAAAGAAAATTTACATTACACAAAATTAATGTGAATTTTCCAAACGTTAGATTTACATCAATTAACGCAAAATTTTTGAAAACAATATGTGCCTAACTTTATTTCATGTGAATTTGCTGCAATACAAACTTCACTGGTTCAAGGCGGCTTGGTATTGGTAATCCCCATAAAGGTAACCGTGCAGTGAGAGGATGAATGGGCCAGGGAAATTTTAACAAGAAAGACGGAAGAATTAGGCTATCACCTCAGGGAAATGGATCAATAAGAAGACCAACTGAACTCAGTTGAAGAACCTGATGAATCAAAAGGTAAAACACTTCAAGAAGCCTACACAGGTATGGTGGCTGTCAACACATGAAGCTGTAGAAGCCATTTATTCTGCATGGACACTGTTAATATTGTCTCTGGAGCATGAAGCAGCATCTAGCAACAAAGATGGGGCAGCAAAAGCAAAGGGTATGATTTAAATTAAAAAATAAACTCTTTCGTTTTTATTACAACCACTTGCTTCCTTCTTGATGTACTTGGTGTTATCAGTAAATGTAGCAAAGTCTTTCAGACAGACATGATTGATATTGATCAAATGCAATCAATGCTAGAAGCAACTGTGTCAATGATTAAAGACATGAAAGAAAATCCCGGTGAGTATTTGGGAGAACTACTTTCCCACATGGAAACAAAAAACTATAGTGAACACAAAGGAACCAAAGTGGAAGACTTCAATCTGGAACAGAAAAATCGTTTCAATAGAAACAAGGACAGTGTTATAGACAACGTGATTGCTCAAGGGGAGTAGACAATTCATGAAAAAGATATACAATTACTTAAAGATTTTTTACATACCATTCTCAACCCTGCAAAATTACCCCACACAGCAACTGAGATTCAAAATCATTGGTCCTGAGAGCCTAGAAAGACTCATTGAGAGGCATGCTGATGCATCTAAAGAAGAAAGTGTAATTGAGGCTGATGGAGCAAGAAAAATAGTAATAAGGACAAAACTGAAATCTGTGAAATTCTTACAAAGCCAGGTGTTTATGAAGACATTCATATTGTGTAGTCACGTGCTAGGCAACAAAAAAGTTCACCCATATCATGTTCCATCATGGGAAACATACCCAATTCAGTGATTTTGTTACCTCTGCGTACTGAGTCCCTGACACACAAAAATCTCCAAAGATGCAAAATAATTCATGGCATGTATCCCATAGGACGCAAAGATCAATCAACAATGGATCGATCTGAACATAAGTTTTAGTAGAAATACTCTGTTTGTGTAATTACTGTGGCAGTTATTATGGCTGTTGTTTAACTATGCATATTTCATTTACCCTTTGCTGTGCTTTAAAATACGACCATATTTTTATTTCAGTCTACTGTAATACAGAGTTTTGGAGTCTGAGTCTTCAGATTAACTGTCTGGTTACAAAAAGGGCCAAGAATTTTCAATTTTTGACTTCTCGTTTTTTGAACTGGGACTCAATGGTTCTGGACTGGGACTCTATGGTGGCCTAGGACTGCCATAGCCTGCGAACAGCAGACGCATTTCTGGTCGTCGCTTCTCTCCCTCCGAAAATAGAGAAGCCACGACTGGAAATGCGTCTGCTGTTCGCAGGCTAGGACTGCCATTGCTAGCTAACCGTTCTAAAAAATTCATCATCCGTGCGAACGGTTCGAGCTATGCGTTCGACAAAACTCACCAGCCGTTCGAACGGCTCGAGCTATCCATTCAAGAAAATTCATCAACCGTTCGAACGACTCAAGCTATCCGTTCGAGAAAATTCATCAGCCGTTTGAAAAGCTAGAGCTATCCTTTCAAGAAAATTCATCAGCTGTTCGAACGGCTCGAGCTATCCGTTCAAGAAAGAAACAGTAAGTTATTTTGGCAGCCGTTCCAAGAAGACGAGAAGAGACGACTTCAAAACAATAAATTCGCCATTCTTTGTTAAATGACGCATGCCGTCATGTTTACATTACACAAACAGTCGTCACGCTTCTGTTCTTTGTTTACCTCCCCTTAAATGATACTCACTTCATTTTTTACGGAAAAACGTTTGATTCACAAGCTCCTATTAAATTGAAAACCTTACCGTCCTTGCGTGTTCGTGGCGGCTTAAGAAGCCACGCACTTCTGCCTTGCGAGAGAGATTAATTTCAAGATAAACATCGCTCACAAGATAAATGTGGCACTTTATTCGCTTTGGGCTCTTCGTTCATGCGCTTTGTTTAGCTTGTGTTTTCACAGGCGGCGCAGACGTACTGTTTGTGGAATTAATTTTTAAACAACAGTGCCGAAGTGTATGTGAAGTGAAAAGCTAAATTTACTGCAAATCAGTCAAAATATTTATGTAATCGTTCAAAATATATATATCGTTTTGCCTTGATATCATTGTCTATTTCTTTGTCCTGGTCAGTATCTGGCCTATTTTGCCGCGTTTCTCAGCTAGTTCGATTCCGATCATGGCCGCGTGGGCGCCGTTATCAGTCAGTGTTATATCAAAAGCCCAAATGGTGTTTAAAAATCGCAATAATTGTAAAACATAGCATTCATTCCCTTAGTTGAATGTCTCCCTGTTTGTCCTGGCTGGTTTAAACGGCATTTCTCTGCTTTTTGCTATCAGAGGTATCATCCACTATAAACGAAGTGAAGGCTGGTTACAAGGCCAACGGACCATCTCCACGCGAAGAATGTGGTAGGCAAACACTATTTTGCCCCTGTGGAATCTAAGAATCTAAGACAAAACAAGTAATATAAGGAACATTTCAATTTTTTGGCTGCCCTTTTGCAGAGCTTGAAACTTTACAAACATAGACTAGAAAATGCATAAAATCAAGCCTATTTACATTGGAACCCCATGACTTCCAGATTAATGCTGTAAACAGTGATTTACTTCGACAGTATGGCATTTCTGAAATTCTGGCATGGACATCTCTCTTGTGACAAAAACCCTTACAGCAAGGAGCATGCAGAAAACAGATATATTTGCAGGCTACAGTTTTCCTTGCAAGAACAAAGATAAACTAGATGGGCTATATATTTTGTATATGTTGCATTCAAAAACTGAATCGACAGTAATTTTGCAGCTGCCTGGTGAGAGAAACAATAAGTCTGATTTTTTCCCCAAAATATGACAAATATTCAAAGTATACTTGTACAGCTCGACGGCGAGAGATCATTGTGCATCACTTCACAGATTTCAGCCAAAGACAAAAGTTGTCAAATGCATGCAGTCTATGCGTACAATTTTACAAGCAGTTTCCAGTTTCTCGTGTAATCACCTTGCTATGTGGCAAATTTCCACACAAAAAATGTGTGTAACGCTGTGAAATAGTTAATTACAAGAAATAGATAACCAAACTAAAGCATATAAAAATTATGCAGTCTCAGGCTAACAAAACTCTATTAACATAAATTGTTTCTGTCACTGCTTTTTATTCCGACTAAAAGGTACTTATGTTTATGCTAGGGAGAGTTGGGGAACACCAAGTCTATTGAAAGGTCTATACCACCAGGGTGCAAAGAAAGTCATTTTTAAAGCTTGCCATTCGGGCAAGCTGAAGCTAGAATATACTAGCTCAAACATCATTTCAACCTGCCCCAAAAACATACTGATGAGCAGAATTGATTTCACAGTTCTTCTGTTATTTAAATTCCTCAAAAAAATTCACTTGCCTGTCAGACAAGTTAAGGTAATTCCCTTGTTTTCCATTGCGCACCCTCTACTGCGCATAACATTGCCACATCCAAGATGGCAGCAGTTCTTCCTTCTAGCGCAAAAAAAACAAACAAGGGCCGTTTTAGCAGAAGTAAAGGTTTTATTCTCAATAATAATGCCACAGATCGGCTGACAGATTCCTGTTTTGCTATCAAAAAACAAGAAAATAAAAGAATTGTGCGTGATCTCGAAGTCTGCAGTGGGTTTTTACTTCGCGGCCGTCGAGTTGTGGAATTATTAAAATATCCTTGCTGAGGCTTTGGATTATGGGCGCTGTGAAGCCTGTGGGACAGCTCTACGGCTCTCCAACTGCATTAACGAGCCAGTATCTGGCCTGTGATTGCTACTGTACATATGTTGTTCAAACTCCGAGAGTGGAGAGACGAATATTTCTGGAACAAATAAGACCCACCGTAGCACCAGAACCACGCGAGGAAGACAAGTCTGACAAGTCTTTGATGTAAACACGAAGTTTGCTGCTGAATTCACATTTTGTTGTTTATAGAAACCAAACAAGCGAACATATGAAGAGTTCAAGCTTCTTTGTCAAGCATTATTGTACAAAAGCAAAAAAACGAACCCTAGCTTACTGGAATTACAGAGAACGCTGGCGCTACAAAATAGTCCAAAATCAAGATTCATAACTCCAAAATCTCATCAAATCTTGACTTACCTCATTCCTTGGTATTTAATGTACTCTTTTCAAGTTTGAATTTCTGTGTTGGCGAAATCAAACACATAAAAACAATCGAAAACAAGCTTCATCTCGAGTGCATACTTCGAACTTGATGGGCTTTATTTTGTATCTCGTCCCAGTCCCCGCCGTGCAAATTACCCATCCTGACTGCGATCTCAAAACCATGTCCACCTTTCACAGCAGTTTGTGAGGAACAAGCACGGTGACCCCCGATTTTTTTCCCAGGTATTTGCTAAGAACAGTCTAATAGAGAACATATTTGAAGAAGAAAAAAAGTTTGATAGTAAAACGTGATTTTTTTGGGGAAAATAGTTTCGCATTTGGTGTATTTGGGTCATGGCGAGGACTTTAAGCTAACTACGGAACTGTCCGAAAAGTGCAATATCCCCACAACCAGGCAATCAAAAACGAATTAAATGAGGCAATACTGCTTATCTGAATAAAAGAAGCTTTATATTCAAGGTAAAATTTGGTGTGTTTTAAGTAACAACGACTTAATTCTGTAAGAAGGGGATTCGAATTTTTAACGCGCAACCAGTAAAAATACCCCTGTTTAAGAGCCTGCTGACGCGTAAACAAGCACGGTGACCCCATCTTTTTATTGCACTTTTTTAATGTTCATATCATGAATGTTGATTATGCCAAGTTTGAAAAAAAGTTTGATAGTAGAACAATTTCAAGGGAATTACCTTAAGAACAAATATTAATTCACTGACCTGATAGCAAAATTAACTACTGCACACTGATTTTCATGATTTCAGAGTTCTTTGAATGATGGAACTGAGCTGGAAGGTCTCAAGTGACTATGACCTGCCTGAAAGAAGTATCCCTTTCAGTTTTGACAAAGATATAATTTCCATCAATAGCTCCTTCATAGTTAGTGCCCAATGTAAGAAAAAGACCCTTAAACTTTTCATAATCTCTACTGTGTATTTCAATGACAGCACATGTATTCTTGATTAGCAAACCACCATTGACAAGACTTAAAGCCACAACATTGAAACAGTAAAATACCTCCGAAGGGAAGGTCCATAAAAAAGGAAGTAGTCCATGGCCCATCCTGTGATCAGGCGGTCATTCTTCCCTTTTGTTAGGGAGTTCTTTTTTTTCCCTCCCCCCCTTGAAAAAAAACCTCCTAGTCGCAGGTTATCCATAGCTGGAAAGCACATGTTTTTTGCTTCATTTTCTCAGCACTGTCTTATGCCAATAACCCACACTCCTTGCCACCATCCTCATACATTGAGCTAAATGAAATTTAAAAGCTACTACTTAAAGTACACTTTAAGTGGTCATTTGTCTTAGCCACAATCAAAAAAAACTTAAGTGACAATAGAGCTGCATGTGTAATCTATCATTTCCAACATAATAATGTTTTGCGAAATT